AAACAAGTCTTCGGACTTCGGGCTATTCATGCCGAAATACTCCTATTCTAAGCCACTCAATGTTTAGGCTAGATAAGGAGAAATAAAACAGGATGAGAAACACAAGTTGTATGATAGATGTCTATAGTTTAAAACGTAGCAATAAGACACGTGTTGAAGTCGTAGATTATATTACAAATCATCATTATTACTGTCTCTTATACACATCTAGATGTGTATAAGAGACAGAAATACTCTTGTAGACTATATGTATATAGGTAATTATCATGCTGAATATTAAAGAGATAGATTGATTTGTTTGACAATAAGTTTGACCAACTATAGTAACTCTAAAATCTGGACTAAGTGTAGCTAATTATTATTCTGAATATATAATTGAATACCGTGATTTGTTTAACCAAAGGTTAGTAAAGCAATAGTAAGTCTATAATATGGACAAGTGTAGCTATTTTTTCCATATTATAGACTCTTAATAAGCTGACAGCTAATACTGAAACGCTCTCACGTATTGGAAATATAAGCTAGTAAAGCTTATTTATTTGTCACAGCTTGGAAACCATATTAAATAATAATCAAATTAGGATTGCAAACCTAATTTGAATATTATTTAATATGATTTACAAGCTGCAGAAATCATAGTAAATAATATTTAAATTATAGGTTTGCAAACCTAATTTGAATATTATTTACTATGATTTCCAAGCTGCAGAAATCATAGTAAATAGTATTTAAATTATAGGTTTGCAAACCTAATTTTAATATTATTTACTATGTTTATTTTGTATGATTATATGCATTGAAAGAAATACACAAATTAAAATATTATATTATTGTTCACCTTAAAGGATCTATTTGATGCTTGCTTAACTCAAGAGATGCAGCAGAGGGCGCTGTACCTAGCAACATGTGGCCATTATAACGTGTTAAGCCTCATTTGCCATCTATTCCGACTTGACACTGGTGATAATCGCCACCTAACGGGACACCTAAATGTAATGCTAGAAAGACAGCAGTTTAAGGAGGTAAGTGGGTCGAATCTTATTGAAATGTTCAGATTCCTTGGGTAGCAGTATGCAAATGATAATTATGATGATGATAATAATAATAATAATAATAATAATAATATCATCATCATCATCATCATCATCATCATCATCATCATCATCATAATAATAATAATAATAATAATAATACGGGCTTAAATACAATACTTGATTCTGTACCAACTATCATAAAATGAAAGTAAAATGCTTACTTCATTAGTTTTCAAATAAAAATTTTCACTGCCAATTAACAAATGTTTCTTGAGAACTCGGTAGCTCTCATAAATGTTCATACATACAAGACAATGCATATCCCATATTTATTTGAATAAACGTCCTGCTTTGAGTAAACACCGCTCGAACAAACGTCCCCCTTCAGGCGTCATTTGGAGTAAACGCCTCAGAGCATTTATTTTTTCCTCGAATAACCGACTCCTTCAAATATAGGCCCTCTAGAAAACCCTTCTCATCAATAAAGATGGTAGGTAAAAATTACCAATAATCAATAACTTGTTTAGTGTGTTTTATTTTAAATGCATAGAACCACTTACTGTTTAATTAAAATTAAATAAAAATACAATTATGATTTATTATATTATCTATCATTATTATTCTTAAAAAAAAAAATAGGTTTGCAGGTGTATTACCCAGCTAAATCTACAGCACTGCTTTTCAATTCACCAGGTAAGTCACTATTTTAACATTAACAATATTCATCTTCTTCTCGAGTCACTATGTAGCTAGCGTGTATGATCTTGCTTACATAGTGTGGTAGAAGAATTCGCAGGTAGGATACCTGACATGAGCCGCGATATAATCGTTTCCGTCTGTGGCCGGACAAGGGGCTGAAATGGACCAGTACACTGGGGTAACCCTACTCTTCTTGAAGGATGTACTGGGTTGTTTAAAGTGCACACAAGCCAGTTGTGTACACTGGGCCTACAGTTTAGAATCCTTATCTGAAAAGACTTGTTCCACCACCAGGACCATGGCGAGCGTGTTGTTTGAACCAGTGCCAATATTATGGCTGTATAGTATGTCACGGTTCCCCTGTTTCAATCGCTCGGCCAATCGACCAATATTCATGAAGAAGATAATTATGATTTGATAAATTTGATGCTGGTAACAATTATTAAGGTAGGCAGCCATCATCGGCTGATGAATCAAACTCTGCTCCCTGTGAAGTGCTAGACGATGCTACGCCCTCTGCTGATTGTCGTGGCAGTCTGATCAGATCGTCATTAAAAACGATCCGTTGATGCTTGTCATGGCATTGCGTTCTCCGTTGAATCGCAGCGAAGGTCGGCTGCAGTGAGTGCTCGGCCTTAGGCTTAAAAAAGGTTGTGTGTTTCCGAAGCAAAGTGACCATTAGAAATCAGGGTCAGTCAGTCGGTTATACATAGTATTAGCTTATGCGGGAAGAGGCTGAGCTATCTAACAGGGAGTCTGACAATGATACTGATTACGATGATAACAGGAATAATAGTACAGTATGGTAGTAATATTGTAGTGATCATCATGATGATTGATTTTGATTTGATTTCAAATGACATGGTTGTGATTATGATTGTATGATAATGACAGTGATTATTTCTAATAATCATGGGGATGATGATGACAGTTGTAATCATTGTGATGTTTATGATTGATAGTGGTTTTAATGGTGAAAATGATGATTATTATTGTTAGATGACAGAGATGATGATAATGATAGTCATCATTATTACAACAATGATTCAAATAATAATAATAATTATTGTACAGGTAGTTGTGCCACTTGTTCTGCAAGACAAAGTGAATCTGGTAGAAACATATTGCAAGAAGCATAAGAAACTACAAATACAGTTACTCCAGTACCTCGATCAGTTCTGTGCAAATGGATTTGATGTCGATTTTGCAATAGGGTATGTACAGTATGAGAAAAACCCTAGCTCGCAGCATCATTGTGCTGTATTGAATATGGGCATGTTCTGTTACTACTGTACGTGTACCTAGCTGCCGCAGACAGATGCTTAGTAGCTTCTACAAATGACGGGGTGAAATGAACTATATCATTGGGGTACCACCTACTCTGTGGAAGATGCAATGGGTTCTATAATGTGTACGTAGGCAATATCCATACACTGGGATTTCTTTTTGAAGTTTTTATCCGAGAAGACTTGGTTCTACCTACTGAACCCAGGAGGTGGAGCTGCTGGAACCAGCACCGATGTTAAGGCTGTAGTTATCAGTGCCCCTGCTTTTCCACTTGGCTACTTGATTCGCTAAAACACCCATTTCTTCTAAACACTTGACTTGCATAGCGAACTTGACTCTTCAAAACACTTCACTCACCCAAACACTCAACTCGCTCAAATGTGTGACTCATTTAAACACTCAACATGAATGGGATACAAGTCAAATCAATTGCAGTTTTTGTTGATTTAAATGTGTTTTACCAGAAAATCATAAATTGATTACAGCCCGATTAATTGTCTGTGTAAAGATTCTAGGACATGTTTTTTGTAGGAATAAAATCAATGGGGTTGTTTTTCTAATCTAGAAATCTTGGTGTCCCTGGTGTAAGGAAGGATAAACTCTGTCCTCGTGTGATGCGGAAGCTGGTTGCCCGACTACTGAAAATGTATAATTTGGAGTCTGAAATTTGTCCAAATTACGACAAGACCAAAAATATGGGAGCCCTAAAATATCTTCTCTATAAGCGATATAATGAGGTTTGTGATTGTTAAGTACTTTTTACATATTTATCTTTTATTTAATTGTTAAATTTATGATTAGGTGTATATTTATTTTTGTTCATTTTTTACTTGATTTTAAATTTTTATTTGTACTCATTATTAAATTTTATTTTCTGATAATTATTTGTTTCAATGAATATGAGTCTAGTCTACCTATTAGTTAACCTATTAAACTTACTTAATATTATACTAAAACCATCACAATTACCAAATGCATCCATTGAGTAGCTAGCTGTCAGTGTATTTGACTATCTATGTATGTTTGAACTTCATTATTATAAACAAGGCTGTAGAGTTTAGATCTACAGTATTTAAACAGCACTTGAATAGACGAAGCTGCCAGAAATTTTAAGTTGGTAAAGAGTGTTGGGTGAGAAATATAATTATAATAAATTAGGTACGTCATAAATCTTACGGACAATATGTTTTCAGGAGTTACTCCAGACCAAATTTGGCTATTTGACTTAGCTGCGTAGAATGCAATATTTAGAGAAAACATAGTGAAGTATGACGGTGGCCTAATAGCTCAGTTAAAAGAGAACTGAATAGGAATTAGAAGGTTTTTGGATCAAATCCTAATTTCAACAATATATTTTTTTCAAATTGCCATAAAAACTATGTGCTTTTTATTGTACAATTTTTATTTGAATAAATTCCCACCTTTGAAAATTGCCTCCCTCGTATAACCTCTCCCTCCAGAGCCTTATTAGGAATGAACACCTCCCTCTTAATTAAATGCCCTAAGGCCCTAGGGCATTTATGATCTTTTTTCGAATAAACACCCCTAATGACTGTAAACAAAACTAATAATGGAAGCAATATCATTCTCAACACATTCTATTAAATGTTCAACTCCAGAAGAATTACATTTTTTTTCTCTTCTGATTGGGATAGATATGTATTTATGATTACTTTTTGATGGTAATTATTTGTTGTAGTTCGACATTAAGGGGCGTTTATTTGAGTGTATGTTATATGTATCCATTTTACACCAAAAAAATTAACACCTCGCTCGAATAAATGCCCTTTCAAAAACCCTTCTCAACAATAAATGCCCCGAGGCATTTATTTGAATAAATACAGTATTTGTTTTTTAGCCTGCATCATGTTCCAGTAATTGGGAGGATTTTGTAGAGCAAGCTGTGGGCGATAACCACATTCTTCAGGATGAGCTGATCCTACAGTTTATATGTTATGATGATTTACAAGCCGCTGTGAAGTGGGCTAAGAAGTTGAATGTTAGCAGTGACAGGATGCCGGAACAAGTAGTCGCTGCTATCGCTGAGGCTCAAAGGTATTATTATTACTTGTCCATCATACATGCAATGCTGTCAATCATGCAATGAATGCTGTCAATCATGCAGTGCATGGAATGCTTTCAATTTATTTCATGCTTATTGTTGTGATTAAAGTAATCCTTGGTTTTGCAATCACATTTTTCATGTAAAAGTAATCAATTGTCCAAACTAGAAAATTTTCTTTGATAAAAAAACTTTTGTACGCCCATATTTAGTTATGGCGTCCCTAGGTAATGATAATGATAATAAATTTGCTAAACAATTAACAAATTAACAAAATAAAAGAATTGTTTGACTAGACTTTATCTTATGGTATAAAGCATTGTTTAGATTCCAGCAGATAAAAACACAATTTGTCTGATCAAATATGTCTGCAACTGACTATATGAAGCACTGTCCAGGCAATCAAATTTTATTTGACAAAACCATGTGACATGCCTAAATATGGTCATGATGACATCACATTATTTACTATATATTGGAACATCATTACTGTATATGGGCATACAACAGTTTTGATTAAATAATTCTAAAATTAACAAATTTTAAACATTTGTTTCATTTTATTTACATTTATGATTAATACTGCACATTATTATTATTATCATTACTATAATTGTTCATTAGCGCAACAGAGGAAGAAGATTGGGAGGCTTCATATACTACAGAGGAGGCAGTGGTGCACAGTACTGTTGATTACTACCAGCTGAATCTGCCATTTGAGAAGATTGTTGTCGTGGACCAGGAGTACATGGTTGAGAATTGTATTCAGCACTTAACCAAGGTAACAATGCAAAAGCCAATCACTAATAGAGTAATAGAATACATTTATTGGGTATATATTTGTGTTTATTAAATGATTATATAATAAATAAAATAAGTGTATGATTTGTCAAGGAACACGAATTCTGTTTTATTTTATAGTATACATAATATACATAATACATAAGATGTGTATAAGAGACAGGAACTATATCATTGGGGTACCACCTACTCTGTGGAAGATGCAATGGGTTCTATAATGTGTACATAGGCAATATCCATACACTGCGATTTCTATTTGAAGTTTTTATCCGAGAAGACTTGGTTCTACCTACTGAACCCAGGAGGTGGAGCTGCTGGAACCAGCACCGATGTTAAGGCTGTAGTTATCAGTGCCCCTGCTTTTCCACTTGGCTACTTGATTCGCTAAAACACCCATTTCTTCTAAACACTTGACTTGCATAGCGAACTTGACTCTTCAAAACACTTCACTCACCCAAACACTCAACTCGCTCAAATGTGTGACTCATCCAACCATCAACATGAATGGGATACAAGTCAAATCAATTGCAGTTTTTGTTGATTTAAATGT